CTTGACACTTGAGGAATCCGGAATGGTTTCTTCTACCAATTATGCCTTCACTTGTTTCTTATTATTCCAACATTGCCCTTCATTTGACACTCATTATGCCATCTTTTAATAAATAAATCAAACCTATTTATATATTTTTATATAGGTAAATTTTATTATATAAATTTAATTAAGAATTTAATTTAATTAATTAGTATGAAAATAATTTATTTATGTAAGGGCAATTTAGTAATCAAACTAGTTTTCATTCCGATTGAAGTAAATTAGTAAACAACTTTTATGGACTCAACATCATTCCTACCATCTTTTAATAAATAAATAAAACCCATTTATATATTTTTATATAGATGAATTTTATTATATAAATTTAATTAAGAATTTAATATAATTAATTAGTATGAAAATAATTTATTTATGTGAGGGCAATATAGTAATCAACCTAGTTTTCATTCCGATTGAAGTGAATTAGTAAACAACTTATATGGACTCAACATCATTCCTACTCCGACTCCAGACAGTTTTAGTAAACAACTTCAACAGGAATCTGATTTTGATTCCATCTCATTTCAATTCCTCCTCAATCCAATTCCTCCTCAATTCAATTCATCTCAATTTGATTACGGATTAGTAAACGCGCCCTTAATATTGAACCTCATTCCACTTTGCATTCTAATTTCAGTTTTGCCCTCACTAAAGACCTATTCATGAGACGTTGCTAAATATGGGGTGTGCTATCTACACATCCATTTTTACTTCTTCCACACCCCTAGTTAATTTCTGTCCGTTGATCTTCTTCAATTCATCCGATCAGACGGTCAAAAATTAAAAAGGTGTGAGAGAAGTAAAAAATGGTGTGTGGATACCACACCCCGCTAAATATTTACCTGAAATTACTATTCCATTTTAGGACAAAAGTGGAATTACCGTTAATTTAAAAAATTAATAATAAAATAATTCTAGCCCATGGGCCACAAGAATCTATTTCCGGGCGGAAGAGGCTGGGTCCGTGACTAAAGAGTAGCGTGGGCTCGAGTGGCCCAAACTTGTCAAGAGTACCCCAAGAATCCGAAAGTTGTAGGCAAGACCCAAGTCCAATCATTTTAGCCCCAGTGAACAATTACAGTTTGGTTCATGATTATGACTATTTAAAGTTCAAACAACTCTCAAAATAGTTATTAAAGTAACTCCAGCCTAGTACCGTTTTGGAATCCCTAAATTCTTCATAGTGTACTAGCCAACCGCGCACCCCGTCGTGGTCATTGATATGAGACAGTAGTTGTAACATGCACACCAAGTTGTTGGGGGAAGATTTCCTTGCTACAAACACTTAGTACTACGGTGTAGTGCTATTTTTCTTCATTTGTAAGTGAGAGGTCTTAGGTTCGATTCTCGCCAAATGCAAATTTGAACCATATTATTGCTAGTTCATTATGACGCTTAGCCCACTTCCTCACCCCTTAGAGTATATAATATGTTTGTTAGAAAAGAAAAATAAAATAAAATAAAATAACACTAAAGAAGAGTGTCAAGGCTAAGAAACTTACGTACACTATGTATTATCACAGTAACAGTTTCTAAAACTTATCATAAATAATATCATAGAATTTAACATTCTTGCACAACAATACATGATTTATTTGAAATACTGTTATCGCAACATCTCAGTTCAGAAACTCAAAGTGCATATTGCATGAGGGAGAAATCATAGGGTCATAGTCAACGAGTGAAAAATGTGAAGTACACATTGGACAAGAGAAATGCAGATCATGTGATGAGTGATAGGAGATGAGTCCTCACTCCCCACACACTATGATAGTGGCAGTTACTAGAAAACCGACCCACCCGCCCATCCATCCATCCATCCGCCCATCATCTATCATCCCATACATCCTCCATGAAACACCAAAAAACCATCACCATAAAAGATAGCCCCCAGAAGGCTTAGCTGGTAGGAGTAGATGCAAAAACGGTTATGCCGTGACCAGCTGCTTTGCAATGCCAGCTGGATGCTGTTGGACGATCAAATTCCAACCCAAAGCCCATAAAGCAGCAACACGTGTCATGCACCACACGTGGACACCTCGACAATGCATTTACTGCGCCTCCAACCCAATGGACCCAACCCTCTACACCGCGTGTTATTATAGATCGAAAGAAATTTTATTTTTTAAGTTGTTAATCATTTAATAAGGGAATTATTATTAACACTCTAAAAATCTCATTCTATACTTCAAACTTTCTATATTAAGAAAGAAAAAATACATTTGTGAGGAGTGTAGAATGAGATTTTAGAGTGTCAATAACACTTCCCTTTAACAAAAACATTTTATCATTTGTTAACGACATATAATGTACCATTTCATTCCAAGTAAATTGAAAAATCTCTCCAGCTCCACAAGTTATAACCCACCAAGGACTCCCATATGACCACCCATACCACCCTCCCCCTACGAAATCCAAATGAAAAAAAAAAAAAAACAGATACTTTTCTTCTTTTTCTTGCTCTATGGTGTTTTATTTATGCATTAAAAAGGCCACTTTTTAGTCAATTTATGGACCGACTTGTAATACATTTACGATTTAAATCTCTAAAGGCTGTACTTCTGATAAAATGGAATCAACTTTTTCTTCTAAAAGTTATTTCCTACAATTTCAAGAGTTTGGTTCAATGGAGCAAATGTTTAGAATTCTTATTTCAAATTTGAACTCATATGGAATCACGAATACATATTTTGAAGTTACCGACCTGTTTTAATGTATTGTTTAAATATAGAGCTAGTATATTTTGTCGTCTCATGTCATACTGAAACTGTTTGAGCGGAAATAAGTCAACATTTCCTGCAATATTTTGTGTAAGATAAAAAAAGTAATCTTATAAAATGCCTTTTTAATTTAACTAGAAAGTACAAAATTAATGGGTCAAATTCACCGACGAGGGCGGCGCAGTCGTCGGAGCTTCCAATTGACGCGTATGCCGCTCGTTTCCGTCTTGTTTTGGACAAGGTGTGGTGACTAGGGAGAGAATTGAATTAGGTGGGTCCCATGGAAACTATGTGCAATAAATGATTGCGGTTTAATTGATTCATTAAGGCCTAAACAACGGCGTTTAGCAGTTTTGCACAAAACTAATAACCCAGGTTTAATTGTTAATTCATTTATTACATGCAAGGAAGAAACTACAGTTCACATGAATAACGTTATGCTTATCATATATTTGTATATTTTTTTTTATTAAAAATATAACTCATCAACATATATGAATCTAATCTTTATTAAAGAAATAGTATAATTGATTATACAAATATATAGTAAAAATAGTGTTTTTGTTTACACATACATATATTTGGAGTTAATTACTCTGCCCCGTTGTGATTTGGAACAAGTGGTATTGTGATTTGGAGAGTTAAGGTTTCGTCATGTCATTTAAAAATTCGCCGACACTTACAAAATGCGACACTTTTGATCCATGTCCGTTAAACTATCAACTTAACTATTATTTTATGTGACGTGACATTTATTAGACTCATTTTGCTCTTAATTGAAAACTAAATTGGTGCCACATAAAATCATCGATACCTTAAGAAATGAGTCTAATAAATGTCACGATGGTTCATTATCCCAAAATTTTCATTTTTCTTGGGTAGTGATATTCACATGTGCATTTTTATTTCTTATACACTACTTTAGTTTTTGTTAATTGATTTTCTTGATTTCATTCGATTTACAACAACAACAAAACATTTTCTCACTAAGTGGGGTCGGCTATATGAATCATAGAATGCTATTGCACTCGATTCTGTGTCACGTCTTTTGTTAAATCCAAGTACTCTAAGAGCTTATTTGGATGTGCTTTTAAAATAACTGAAAACGCTTTTAGTGAAAATGTTTTTGGAACCAATCCTTAGTAAAAATGCAAGTAAATCTTGAAAAAAGCACTTAAAGTGTTTCCTGTAAGAAGCACATAATTAGTGCTTATTGCAGAAAGCACTTAAAGTGTTTTTGGTACCCAAAAACATTTTATCTAAAAGCCTTTTCAGTCATTTTAAAAGCACATCCAAACAAGCCCTAAGTCTTTTCTTAGAGTCTCTTCCACAGTATTCATAGGTCTTCATCTACTCCTTCGGGCTTGAACTTCTGTCCCGTAGTCGTTTCATTTCATTCGATTTGATGATATAATATTAAAAAAGTGTATGTGAGGTAAAATGAGTATGGCGGTAGCACCACCATTTTTCCTTTCCCCTTTTATTCTCTTATATATAAAGGCAGAGCCCCAATTTGTGGTCACGACTTCGACAAAAAACATTAGGACAAAATTGCCCCTCAACCAAAAAAAAAATCCAAAAGCAACTCAATATAATATATCAAATAATGCAAGGGTTATTTGATAAATATATCAAATAATGCAAGGGTAAATTGATAATTTGGTCATCATAAAATACAATATAATATAATATAATATAAGTGGCAAAAGAGAAAAGAATAAAAAAATGGAAGGATGAGTGAAAGTTGATGGTGCCCACGTGAAGGGGAAATAAAAATATAATAAAAAATAATGAATATTGTGTTCAAAACATTTGTAGTGGTGTGTAGTGCCGGTGATAAATTAGTAAAGTTCATTGTATAAAAAAAAAAATTAGTACCTTACAATATTCTAACAATAATGTGATTTAATCAATTGTTTATTAAATATAATTTTTTTTATAAAAATGTCTTTCACACACGGATAATAATATGATTAAATTAATTATTAAATGATTTTTTTTAGGGGTGATCTTAGCCTCACAATACGCTAGCAATAATATGATTCAATCAATTTTTTATTAAATATTATTTATTATTCATTTACTTTAAATATTCGACTTTCTTTTGTCAATTTATGCATATAAATACATTTAAAATGTGTAAGTCACATGTAACATACCGTCATTTAAAAAATGTATTATGCACACACGTGAGCGCGTACATGATGGTTAATATAAAGTTAAAATAAATAAAAATTCAGCCACAAAAGATTGAGAGAGAGAAAGAAGAGAGTGCGCATGGAAATAGCTGGATTTGTGAGAGGACGACGCAAGAGTGTCTTGATTTCTTGCGTCCAAATTCCATAACGACCCCCACCTCTCTACTCTCCACACCCACCACTCTCCTCCTCCACTCACACTTTCACACCCAAAAATCAAATTTTGATTTTGTTTTTGTCTGCAGCGGAGGAAAATGGAAACGACGGCGTTTGAGTCAGTGGACCAAGTGGTGCAAGAGATCATGAGAATTCACAGATCTTTGCCGCCGAGGCCGGCCGTCGATGAGGTGGAAGCGGCGGTGACGCTGGTTCGGAATGTGGAGATGGCGGAGCAGGCCAGGCTCGACGCCATTGCCAGGCAGACCAAGAGCTTGCAAGTTCCGGAGGAGCTGTTCATGGTGCTGCAGGAGATGCAGAGGAAGTTGGTCTACTTCAACGGCAAGGAGGAGATGCAGGAGGCCCATAAGTTGCTCGATCTCGAGAACCTACATAATCTGTTCGACGATTTGATTCAGAGAGCCTCCACTTGCGTCTCCTCTCCCAATTCCACTTCTTCCTCTTCGGCGGCGGCGGTGAATTTGAGTTCGAAGTCGAATTCCGTTTCTGGGGTTCTTCCTCACAGGCCCTCTCCTTCTTCTTCTGGTTCTGCTGCTGCTACTGCTGCTGCGTATGTGTTCAACACTGACAGGGGAGGTGTTGCTAAAACTGCTTCAGCCAGAGTCAGCAGAGATGACAGTTTCGTGGTCAGCAAGCCCAAGAAAGCATTCTACTTGGATGGAATTGGGGCTGGACCTGCTGTTTCTGCAACTCCCCAGATAGTGGATTCGTCTCTGAGGTCGGTTTCCGCTCTCAATTCAACCGGAGGAGGTGGAGTTGGAGGTGGGTTTTCGATACACTATAAATTTATCGTATTTTTATTGATTTATAGGTTTGAATCGTTTATTGATTTATTGGTTTGAATTGTTTCTCGGGCTCTTTGCGTTATTGGGTAATGTGGGTTTCGTTTGTTTGATTGATCGTTTGTGTGTTGGGTTCTATAGGTCAAGAGGGTGAAAAATTGAGTCTAATAAAGTTGGCGAGTTTAATTGAGGTGTTCGCAAATAAAGGCACTAAGGATGTTAATCTTCGGAACAAGTTGATGGATCAAATCGAATGGCTGCCTGACTCGATAGGAAAGCTTTCTAGATTGGTCTCCCTTGATTTGTCCGAAAACCGGATTCTGGTCCTCCCAACCACCATTGGAGGTCTTTCCTCCTTGACCAAATTGGATTTGCACTCAAACAGGATTGCTCAGCTGCCCGACACTATCGGAGATCTTCTTAGCCTTGTCTCACTAGACCTTCGAGCAAACGACTTGACTGCTCTGCCGGCTACCTTTGGCCGATTGATGCGTCTTGAAGAGCTCGATTTGAGCTCAAACAGGCTCGCTGTGCTTCCTGACACAATTGGGTCCCTTGCTAGCCTCAAGACATTGAATGTTGAGACCAATGATATTGACGAAATTCCTCATACTATTGGTCATTGTACCTCACTCAAAGAGCTGCGTGCAGATTATAACCGGCTTAAAGCACTTCCTGAAGCTGTGGGAAAGATTGAGAGCTTGGAGGTTTTGTCCGTGCGTTACAATAACATCAAACAGTTGCCCACAACCGTGTCGTCTCTATTGAGTCTGAGGGAGCTGGATGTGAGTTTCAATGAGCTTGAGTCTGTGCCTGAGAACTTGTGTTTTGCCACCTCACTTGTTAAGATGAACATTGGAAACAATTTTGCTGATCTGCGATCCCTGCCAAGGTCTATTGGGAACCTCGAGATGCTTGAAGAGTTAGATATCAGCAACAACCAGATACGGGTTCTCCCAGACTCTTTCAGGATGCTCACTCGACTACGTGTTCTACGTGTTGAAGAAAACCCTCTTGAAGTCCCACCAAGACACATAGCTGAAAAGGGGGCGCAGGTAAGTTTCTTCTGTTGTTTTGACTTCTTTATCCAATAGGTTTGTAACTTCGATCTCAAGGTTAACTGTGCTCCCATGATGCATCTTAGGCTGTTGTTCAATACATGGCTGAGCTAGTCGTAAAAAGAGATGTTAAAGCACAACCTGTTAAGCAGAAAAAGACTTGGGCTCAAATCTGCTGCTTCTCGAGGTCAAACAAAAGGAAGCGCAATGGTGAAGATTATGTAAAAGCCTGATTAATCACTGAATCCCTGACAAGAGATGTGAAAATTTCTATCGAGTAAGTTACCAAAACAATATCTTGGCGAATTTACTTATGAGCCGGAAAAGTAGAATTCATGCATTTTACCTCCACATATATGTAACGGGTACTACTAGGGATGATTTGATTAGGTTTTCTGTCACATTTTTGTGCCACTCACATACCTTTCTTATTTCTTTCAAACAGGAATACCAGCTGTTAGCAGGCTAGATGAGAAAAGAGACTACGAATCAACATCAACTAAGATGGTGGGTTTCTAAATCGTTCCATTGACTCTTCAATACCAAAATTGTATATCTGTTTTTTATTTGTTTTTGTTAGAATTTTTTCTTTTGATCCATCTGTATTTCTGTTATCTTTGAGTCAAAATGAGGTGTACAATTCAGCCGGCATATAGGAGAAACGAAAAAACTTTTACTCTGTAAATCACCTCCAATCCATTGTTCATGATGTCTCCGTATGTGTATCCTTTCTACCACTTGTAATTGAATTTGTTTCCACTCAAATAGAATCTAGCATCTTATGTTTACTCCATTGTTGCTGATTTAGTAAAAATATTCAGATTCTGACTTTCGACGTGATCTGGGTACCGAAAGTCTTGATCTTATCTGTAGGATGGAGGATCTTGGCCTAAGTTTCTGGCTCAGAGCTTATGAATATTCCCCTGCTCCCAAATCCAGATAGATGCCTGATTGTTGCTTAATACTTAATAGCTTGTTGACTTTGCTCCCAATTGCTCTCCACAGATTATATCTGAGCAGAAGACTCTTCTTTATGATTGCAACTCAGATTATATCTGACTTTGCTCCCAATAGCTTGTTGGTTATTTTCAAAACTTACTGTAGTGTATTGCATTCTGTTGAGAGTCGCATGGTTAGAAAATCTTGAGATTTTAGAGTAATTATGAGATCAGCAACTCCCTTAACCTTCCAGTCATCAGATCTGCAACTTCCTTAACCTTCCAGTCAGCCCCTTCCATGGTCTTACGACTTTGGGGAGACCTGTATTTTTTTTTTTTTTTTTCTAGAAATTGTTTGGTGTGGCAGTCAACGCCTTACGGTTATAGTTATGAGAAGAGTGGACGACTTGACACGTGCTATAACATGAGTGATTGGTAACATCAGGGCCGTGTGACGGTTACACCAGAAATTTTCTATTGTTAATCTTCCCGTTCCAACTATGATCATATCACCACCAGCTGATTCAGCTCCATCACATGCCCCCCTCACTCCTTTACAGCGCATCTTTCATGGGTTGAATTGAAAAATACAGACCCTAGCTTCCAGGAAGGTACATTCAAGACCTCCCCATTCCTGGGACCCTGACTTCCTTGAGACCGGCCCTACCAGCGATGAAAAAGACCGGTGGGTGTAGCGGCGGTGGTGGCCCAGTAGATTTCAGGTGGTTGGCATTTCGGACAAAAAATATATATCAATCTGGCATTTGTCAAATTTACAGGACCCCTGGATGAGGTGGCGAGGCATGCATGTTGGGGGGGTTGAGAAATAGGGAACAAGAGCATCCTGCGCCCAAACCTAAGCATATGTGAAGGGCAGTATTAAATTCGACTGAGTTTTTTGGCCAGCATTTGGCTCTCTGCCCATGTGAAATCAAACCATATGATTATATCAATTGAATTATACAAGATATATTGTTTGATGTGATTAATGATGTGTAATTTATAAGGTGATATTGATTATGCTAGGAATAATCGTTCACGCACTACAAAATTTAAAGGATGATTTACCGATTTGATTGGGTTTGAATTTACAATCAAGTACATACTTGGCCGTTAAATTTGAGGTGGGTCGAGCCATCTAGGTGGGAGGAGAGTGGTTTAGAAGTAGGCTAGATCTGAGACATTTAGTATGGACTTTTGGTAATTTGGAGTAGGTTGTATCATACCGTGCGCTCTACGACTCTTCTTACCAACCCATTATAGCCAATCCCTGAGTCTATATACGTCTACAATGGAGTCTATGCCGACCAGTCACTTATGAGTAGCGTATGCTAAAATAGCTCATTGTGCAAAGGTGCAGAACGTAGAAGGAGCATTCGTTACTCCGAATGCATAACCAAGTGAAACGAAACGCCCCCTTCATTAGTGAAACTGTTTGCTTGTCACATAGCATTCGTTACTCCGAATGCATAACCAAGTGAAACGAAACGCCCCCTTCATTAGTGAAACTGTTTGCTTGTCACACATACGGATCTTCTCCAGATCCCCTTCCACCTAATTCACCTAATTCGGAATCCGAGCTGTTGAAATTTGATTCAACGGTTACAAATAGGGGGCCCTTTTAAAAGTGATAATAACTGTAGCCGTTGGATCAAATTTTAACGGTTCGGATTTCGAACTAGATGGATTAACTAATCTTAGGAGCTCGTGTTTTGATATGTCTTTGCCTCTCTTGAATCATACCCAAAACAAAAGTCAAAAAAGAAATGCTAAAAGGAGTCTTTTAAAGTGAGACTCCTTTCACCTCACATATTTTGTACAATATTTTTTAATATTAACATAAAAATTAATTTTAAATTGTGAAGTATTATGTATCAGAAAGTCCTTGAAAATCCATTTTTGCGGATTTCCTTGGCATTTCTCGAAGTCAAAAGGAAATGGATGTGGCTCCAAATACAATTGACTGGAAAATATTAAAACATTATTTGGGTGGGTTTTTCTTCACGTGAGAAACTGTAAACTTTTCTTGCATTGTGTTCGTGGCTAACTCTCTATATTTGTTTGGTGACTGTCCAATGTCAATGCCGTTGTAACACGAGAATCATGATAAATAAATAAATAAATAAAGAATCTTGATCTTGGATTTTCTTTGTGATGATTCCGAGAATACGCTGAATTATATCCGTTCATTGTATATCATGCGATCAGAAATTATTTTAAATAATTTTATTTAAAATTAAACGCAAACAGAAAATGACAAAAACTGATCGTACGATGTACGATTTACGAATCCCAAAGATTCTCATCAAAAAGATCCGAAAAGGATCCTGTTGAATAAATAAATATGTAAAGCACTACAAATCCCAATCTTCTTTCATATAATACTTGTCGTTGCCTACGTGTATTTATCTTGATACACAGAGCACTAATGAGTTATAATCTCAAATAACAAGTTAATTTCAATGTCAATCGTTTCAAATATAAAGTCATAATTTTGCCATGTTTCGTGCGGGATTTAGAGTAAATTAATTAGAAATTGACTACTAAAAATTAAATAAAGAGATTTAAAATGAGCAGATGAAACGCAGTAGAGAGATTTGCTAATGACTACGTGAAAAAAGTTTTTCTCAAATTTTGTTTTGGATCGTATGGTGTATCTCCAAACTCTTAACCTAATAATATTATGTAGTTTATTTCTAACTGTTTGGATCCAAATTTACACTATCGGCCCGTGCAATCAAGGCCATTGAGTGAGCATAGCTTTCAACCGTCGGATGAAAAGTGAAGATAATTTTGTTATTATTGAAAGATAATATTATGATTTTGTTTGGACCCAAAATTACATCATCGGCCCATGCAATCATGGGCGGATCCGTATAGGGACCCGAGAGGTCTTAGGACCCTTCGGAAGTCCGAAGAAACACTTGTGATCGACCTTCGGGATCCTCTAAAATTTGGGCAGGTGCAGTGGAGAGGCTTGTTGCCTTCATAGATGTGCATGCAACAATGCTTATAACGAAGAAGAAGAGGTTTCTAAATTTTGTTTTAATCCTCCAAATCGTCGCAACCTTCCAACTTTAAACTCAAGTTACCCTATCCCCCAGCACCATTAGCCGTTCCACCACCTCTAGCTGCCTAATTTTATTTCTTCCAAATTCATGTAAGTTTTTTAATCCTAGACTCTAGTCTCAACTCCCAATTGTAATATATAAGTTACATTAACAAATTTCATCTTTGTAGATTCATTAATTGATCCAGTATGTTGCTAAGGAGAATTTGTTGGTTTTATTACCTTTGAGATTAATCTTGATTTAAAAAAAAAAAAAAAAAAAAAAAAGCGGGACAACTAGTGGCAGGCAATCAAGGCCGTTGAGTGAACATAGCTCCCAACCGTTGGATGGAAAAGTGAAGATAATTTCGTTATTGTTAAAGGATAATACTATGGTTTTTATCATAATATTTATCTTTTAATATGAATTATCTTCAAATTTTCTTATACGGGATAAATAGGATGCAAATTTATCTTCAACTTGGAAGCGAGCATGCAGTTCAATTTGATTTGAGATTCTCGGCATTTAGACGTATGCTTGGAGTCGGTTAACCGTGCATGAAGGTTATCTTTTGGTTAATGGTGATATTTGATGATCACAAAAAGATAATGGTGCAGCATATTCCGAGTTGGGATGATTATTAGCACATAAATTTATGCTAATAATTAGCATATTCTTCAGGGGTAGGGGCTAAAGTGTTTCAATTTTGGCAATGCATGCACTTGGACGCAAACATGGGCCCTAACATTGCATGGTTCCTTAAGATGCTATAGAAAGAGTTTCATGTGCATGCAAATTGGTCTGATTCCATCAAATCCAATAGCAAATAGCCAATGAGGATGGGTCACTGTTAAACGGCTAAATGGGATGGTTATTAACAGTTTTTATGAAGTGCTTATCTTCGGGAGATTCAAATTGTGGCCAGCTACGGATGTTTTGCAAGAAACACATATAGAACCACATACTCGTCCTTATAAATACAGATGCAGTGGCAACGGGGAAAAGGACCTCCAATTCAACACAAAACTGCCCTACGCAAAATCTCTCAAACATCTTGAGATTTTTTTATTTTTTTTTTCCCGCCGACACATCTTCAGTTTGGATAAACAGCACTGTGAAGGCAACCGGCGAACACCTTCAGTTTGGATAAATAGCACTGTTGCCGCAGAATCAGCCGACCAAGGAGCACCTTCAGTTTGGATAAACAGCACTTGCGTCGAGGCCGACTGGTTACCTATCCAAGTCTCGGTCGAGAAGGGTTTTCGAATCCTTATTGGTAGAGGTCATCTTATTAGCCTTCTGGGCGAAGTAAGGTGTTACGAATTACGACATTCGGCGTACTGAACGCCGAGTGATTTTATGATTGGATACTCACAAGTAAGTTTCAGAGTTCGACATTCTGACGGCCAAACCACATTCACCATCAAGACATACATCACCTTTGAATACTTGTGTCCGTATAGTCTGGTGTCGATTCGACGTGCTTATACTCTTACGAATATAATCACTGTGACCGAATCTAGCGCCGACGATTTGTGAACTTCGTAGAACTAGCAACCTTGTCTTCAGGCTCGAGAATCCAAAGGCCGAGATTTGTTCCTTCCTCGGCCGCAGTCGCAAGATTAAGAAGTCAGTAACACGCTCAACGCAACATCAACAAATTTTACTCCTCGGCCGACAAGTTGGCATGCCCTGCATTCAACCGAATGACGTAGTTAGCTTATTAGTTACTCGGCCTACGCGCCACGTAGGCTTGGTAGTTTTTTAGGGTCAACATATTTTTATCATAATAATTATCGT